GGTCTTGGGAGCCTCTAGAAGCCTGAACTGAGGGCTAGTTGTGTCCAAGAGGTGGTCAGGGAACACTTCCTGGAGGAAGCAACACTCTGAGACTGCACACTCGGTGGGAGTTAGTTAGGAGTGGTAGGAGTGTGGTGGTGAAAAATTTGCCTGGTAATTTGTTCATCTCATTTCCCTGCGTAGAGCCCTCTTCTGAGCTTCACCATTGCCAGCAGGATAAAGTTCAAATTCCTTATCATGGAACACAATCTGTGTGGCCTCACTGACCACTCCCCTGTATTGAGTCTGAGGTGCTTTCAGATAGTTCCCCCAGTCTCTGGCTAGCTCCCTCATAGCTCCAGGCCTTTGCACATGCAGCTCCTCATGCCCTCCACCCTTCCCACCCACTCTGAACTACCAACGTCAGTTGACTCAGGAGCCCTTCCCTGACCCCTCCCATGTAGACTTTGTGGCTCCCTCTCTGGTGCTCCCCGCCTGTGCACACACCTGGACACCTGTGCACTCATCACATCATTAGAGCTTGTCCACGTGTATCTCTGACTCTTGCTCCTACCTGCCAGTGCAGAATTCCAGGTCTTGTCTACCTCCCACACCCTCACCCCGTGAGCATTTTGGGCGTCCCCAGGGTGTGTGTCTCCCATGTGCTGGTGGATAAGGTTAGACAGCTACACCCTCCCACTCCCAGCTATCTTTTCCCCTCCTCCACTCTGCAACCTCCCTTTGCCCCTGCCACACCCCATGAAGCTATCAGTTCTGCTGGACATTGCCCCACCCATTAGACACCCCACGCCTGCTGGGAGCCACTGCCACTCCTGTTGGCATGAGGTCAGCTGGCTCCTCTGTAGGAGCAGGGCTGTGAGGCTGCTGGTGCCCCCAATGCTTTATAGGGCCTTGAGGTTTGGTGCCACGGGTGTGTGTCCATCACAACTACTGCCTCAGCTCAGGATTACTTCCTCCTTCCACTGAGCAAAGTTTTGGCCCCGGGTCAGTTCACTGTGCTCTTCTCCTTCTTCCCTTAGAAAGAGTTCTTTTTCCTAACAAGTCTCTCAGCCCTTCATGCAAATACACTCCCCAAGATTCTGCCCTTCAGTGGGCTGAACAGGTGTGACCTGCGTCACCCTCCAACTCCAGCCTGGAGGGGAAAACATATATGTATTTATATGTTTCAGATAGTAGATGATATAAGCAATATTGAATAGAGCTTCATCACTAAAATACAAAAGCAGTTTAGAAATACATACAATAAAAAGGTAAAGCTCCCCTTCTAGCCCTTGCCCTATCTTAAAAGCTTACCCTACTGGTAGACACTGTTAATTCTTTGGTGGGAATGTTCAGACTTTTTGCTCTGCATCGACACATCTGTGTGGCTGGCATAATGTTTGAGAAATTAATCCCTTTCCTCCTTGTGGATATTCCCCTTTCCCACTCTCACATTCTTGGAGCTCATTTCCTCCTGAACTAGCTCCCCAGATTAGAAACTGGAATCAAGTTTCAGGTGTCTCTGGCTTTTGTGTGCCAAAAGCTTATGAGCTTAGGAGAACTTTAGGGTTTGTGGAATAGCTCATTTTCTTTTGCATAGACTGAATACCTTAACTAGAAACAAGAAAGAAGAAGGATTTCACCTGGAGTGGAAAGACCCCCAACTCTTTGCAGACCTCTCCTCCCCAGACAGGCTCAGGGCAGGAGAGACAGGGGAGAAAGACCTGTGGTCTCCAGAGTCCCACCTTGCCTTCTAGCGGATCACCTGGGCAGGCAGGAGTAAGATCCCAGAGAGTGGTGGCCACGTGGTGGCCGCATTTTGGGACCAAGCTATAGGAACACGGGCAGCCTGCTCCAAGATTCTTGGATCCCCATGGGTGGCAGAGAGTGGCAGAGGCTTTTGGATATGGCTTCAGCCAGCTTCACAGCCACCTCCTGTGTTCCATGCTGGCACTTCTCAGTATTCTGGAGAACTCAGACACACCTTGAGTTGAATTTCCTCTTGGCACAATGGAAGCTTACCATAAACATTGAGTTGAGTTATAGAAACTAAAGTTTGGTTTCCTGCACACTTGAATTTGTGAACCGAGATTCATTCCTGTGGCTTGTGCTATTCATATTCTGCCACTTTTGAAAAAAAAGTGCAATATATCTTAAAAATGTTTCCACATCAGTAGCTATAAATTTATCTTGTTTTTTAAAAAACAATATTAGGGACGCTTGGGTGGCTCAGTCAGTCACTGTCTGCCTTCAGCTCAGGTCATCATCCCAGGGTCCTGCGATTGAGCCCTGCATCAAGCCCCACATTGGGCTCCTTGCTCAGTGGGGAGCCTGCTTCTCTCCCTGCCTGCCACTCCCCCTGCATGTGCTCTCTCTCTCTCTGACAAATGAATAAATAAAATCTTAAAAAAAATAAAAAACAATATTATTTTCAAAAACATACATGCTCACAGTAGAAAATTTTAACAGTACCAAAGGAGAAAGCAAAAGTTCTCCAATCCTCTGTTCCTACTCCCTAGATATAACTATTGCTAACAGCTTCTTCTTTTTTTATTTTTTAAGATTTTATTTATTTATTTGACAGAGAGAGCACAAGCAGGGGGAGCGGCAGGCAGAAGGAGAGGGAGAAGCAGGCTCCCCACTGAGCAAGAAGCCTGATGTGGGGCTCGATCCCAGGACTCTGGGATCATGACCTGAGCTGAAGGCAGAAGCTTAACCGATGGAACCACTCAGGCACCCCGCCAACAGCTTCTTGATGGTTCTTCTAGAAAATTTTCTATGCGGATAAAGACATTTATCAATTTCTGTAGAGCTCTTTTTATAAGCAAATAACCCCAAACTATATATATTTATCTGCAACATATTTGATTATTTAGCAATTTGATCTTATTAAATGAATTCCATCATTTAAGTAGATATAGTTCAACTTCATTTCTTTTAATGATGCCCAGTATTCTATAGACTGGATGTGCCACGTGTATGTAACCAGTTGATTGGCATAAATTTCCAGATTTTTAGCTATTACCAGTTAAGGGCACAATGAACATAATAATATCTAACATTTGTTGACCACAGACCTTATTCTTTGCATGTAGTAAGTCACATAACCCTTGTAATAGTCCAGTGACATAGGCCCTTTTATTGCCCCTGCTTCACAAATGATTGAATTAAGTCACAAGGAGGTCAATAACTTTCCTATAGTCACCATCTGGTAGGTGGTAGATCTGGGATTTGAACAGGGCAGTGAAGTCCCAAGCCTGTACTCTAGATTAGGACACCACAGGCCCTGTGTAGATGCTGTGCACCTGGCTAATATAACCATATACATCTGTAGCAACTCCTGGGTCAAAATAAATGCATGTCAAGTTTTAATAGTGCTACGTGGTCAGGAGGTTATTTTATGAAAAGAGTAGTGTATTTCTTTTCATAATCAAGTGCAGAGCCTGCTTGTTTCCTGAGAACAGAGGGGCTGCAGAGGCTCCTGTGTCCAGAGGCCTCACTAGGTGAGAGCATGTTTTCTGCCATGGCCAAGGCTTTAGGTTTGAATCCTATTTGACCTTCTCCCCTCTGGGCTCAACAGGGCTCTTTCTAATTAAGGCCACAGACACAAGTTGCCAGAGAAGTCAGCTCCTGGACTCCCTTTCTCTCTGTACCCTCTTAGTCTCTCAGGGGTGAGGGTCCCTCCCAATTAGAATGGCCCCAGTTTCCCATTCCGTCTGCAGGGAGAGAAAATGGCAGCTACCTATAGAGACGGAACTGGCCACTCTTTACTTCTCCACCTGCAGCTCCTACATCAAACCTCGAGGGGTCCCATTGTGGGACCTTTAGACCTGGATCCATACCAGACCTGCCCAGAGTGTGTGGCATAGCTTCTTTTTTTTAGCAGTGGCTTTTTTTTTTTTTTTTAAGATTTCATTTGTTTATTTGACAGAGAGCACAAGCAGGGGGAGGGGTGGATGGAGACAGAGAAGCAGATTCCCCACTGAACAAGGAGCCCAATGTGGGGCTCGATCCCAGGATCCCTGAGATCATGACCTGAGCCAAAGGCAGCCACCCAACTGACTGAACCACCCAGGTGCCTCCCCCTTTAAGTTAAACTCTACACTTAATGTGGGGCTTGAACTCATGACCCCGAGATCAAGAGTCAGGTGCTCTAGGGGCACCTGGGTGGCTCAGTAGATTGAGCATCTAACTCTTAATTTTGGCTCAGGTCATGCTTTCAGGGTCCCAAGATTGAGCCCTGCATCAGGCTTCGTCCATGCTGGTCATGGAGCCTGCTTAAGATTCTTTCTCTCCCTCTCCCTCTGCCCCTCCCCTCTAAAAAAGGAGTCCATGCTCTGTTGAGTCAGTTGGGTGTCCCCATGACAGTGGCTTTTATAGGACTATATTAGTGGTTCTGAAAGGGGCGATTTCACCCCAACCCCACTGGCAGGGGACATTTAGCAATGTTTGGAGATATTTTTGGTTGTTGCAAATTGGTATGTGGGAGGGTTAGGGGGGTACTACTGGCATATAGTAGGTAGAGAGAGGCCAGGGATACTGCTAAACATCCTGCAAATCGCAGAACTGCTGCTCACAACAAAAGAGTTATCCAGCCCAAAATGTTAATAGTGTTGAGGCTGAGAAACCATCAGCTACAGAAGGGCAGACAGTTCAACATCGCTCTCACTATGTGACTCCTGTTAACAGCGGCAAACACTTATGTCTTGTTCACTTGTAGCAACTGTTCTAAGTGCTTTATCTCCATTAACTCATTTAATCCCCGGGTGCCTGGGTGGCTCAGTTGGTTAAGCGACTGCCTTCGGCTCAGGTCATGATCCTGGAGTCCCTGGATCGAGTCCCACATCGGGCTCCCTGCTCAACAGGGAGTCTGCTTCTCCCTCTGACCCTCTTCCCTCCCGTGCTCTCTCTCATTTTCTCTCTCTCAAATAAATAAATAAAAACTTAAAAAAAAAATAACTCATTTAATCCCCATAACAAGTCTGTGAGGCAGGTTCCACTATTATCATCTCATTTTGCAGATGAGGAAGCCAAGGCACGGAGCTGTGAAGTACCCAGTCCAAGGTTCCCATGGTGGCAGTCTAAGCTTGATCTCCAGATATGCTCATGGTAAGCACATGCGGGACCTCTCTCCCTTCTTTGCTACTTCTAGAACCTTTGGAGCACCAGGGATTATTTATATCTTTACAAGGAGGGGAAAAAAAGCAGTTGATTGGTCTTTTCTCCCAAATTCTGACTCTCCCATTTCTGATGGCTTTTGTATTTTTTTTTTCTCCAGACAGTTTAACCAAAGTGAGTACTGATTACAGAGATTATGGACAACGATGAAAATTAACTTATTGAATTTGCATAAAAAATCCTGTGTCCTTCCCACAACGGTCTCTTAGGGCTCTTTCATTCTATAGGCTGGACTGCTTGGGTGACAGATTCGCTTAAATATGAGAGCAAACCTGATCACTCAGGAGGACAAGGAGGAGCTGGTGAGTCAAGCTTGGGATACCAGGGACACAGGACTCCCCTGATTAGGCCCATAGTTTTGATGAAGGGGGTGCTTTTCCAAAGGAGGCCTCCAACAGCCAAGATGGGAAGTTGTAAGTGGGGTGAGGGTGGCGGAAGAAGTAGGAAGGGATCTGTTGGATCAAAGCCAGAGGAAATACTTACTGGTTCATTAATCATAGGATGCCATAGGATTGGCTTTGCCTCTGGGTGTGGGGGCAGCAACCTATGCTTTAAACAAACAGCCCCATCACTCAACAATAATTAGCAGCAACAATAAGCATCTTCAATGGGGCAAGATTGACAGGTGGCCGACAACATGCAGCCTCAAGCCTGGCCTGAGCTTGAATGCCACACCTGTGGAGCCAACCAGTCCATGGTCAGGCAGCCCGCAGGGTCATGGGCACAGAGGTGACATGTTCTTTCTTGGGCCATTTGCCAAGAATTTGTTATGTCCTAGGCACTGTACCCACGGTCTAGAGAATTGAAGAGACAAGATTAAGTTTGAAAAGTTAAATAGCAGCATAAGAAATACCACATATGTCACATATAAGGGATGTAGATACTCAGAGTCAAATTGGAATTCTGGATAGGGATTCCCCACCAGGCAGATGGTAGGGAAGGAGGTCTATATCACACCACCATGTTTCTTTTATTTTATTTATTTACTTATTTTTTTAAGATTTTATTTATTTGACAGAGAGAGAGACAGCGAGAGAGGGAACACAAGCAGGGGGAGTGGGAGAGGGGGAAGCAGGCTTCCCGCGGAGCAGGGAGCCCAATGCGGGGCTCGATCCCAGGACCCTGGGACCATGACCTGAGCCCTAGGCAGATGCTTAACGACTGAGCCACCCAGGCGCCCCTACATTTAATTCTTAATCTAGATGGAATTTGTCATATTTTGGTGAATTGTGAGAATTAAGGATTTAACTTCTTTTTCCTAGTTACTGATGATTAAAATATTTATCCTTAGCCTCCTGATCTGAAATACTGCAGGGCACCTGGGAGGCTCAGTTGGTTAAGCGTCTGTCTTTCGCTCAGGTCATGATCCCAGGGTCCTGGGATCAAGACCCGCATCGGCGGGCTCCCTGCTCGTCGGGAAGCCTGCTTCTCCCTCTGCCCCTCCCCCTGCTTGTGCTCTCTCTCTCAAATAAATAAATAAAATATTTTTAAAAAATGAAATACTGACTGCATCTTACAGTACATTTCCATGTATACGTGGGTCTGCTTTAGGACTCTCTGGTCTGTTCCAGTGAATTGTCTATTTGTACACCAGTAACTTCTGTTTTGATCACATTTTCTTTAAATATATCTTAATAGGTGCTAGTGTGAGGTATGCATTATCACGCTGTTTTTTTCAGAATTTTCTTTGTTCTTTTAAGGTAGACTTCAAAATCAAAGTGCTAGGCCCTCCTCCCTTGGACTGCACAGTAGAGCTGGAAACCCCACATGGGTCATCCCAGTGGAATCCTTTGTATTCATAAGCACCAAACATACCAGGAGCTGGATTTGATGGGCCTGGACTTTCTTCACGATGCAGAAATCACATGGCTTCTTTAAGGAAGAAGCCCCTCACTGCCATTGACCTTCACATGGGACATTCCATAGTCTCAGACCCAAAGACAGTCCTGTGGACTTTCAGAGCCCCTGTGGACCTTCAGAGCCCCTGTGTCTCTGCTGCTGTGGCTGCTATAATGCCATACGCCTCCCACAGTAGCCCAGCCACCCTAGCCTGGGGTTTTCCTGTCCATCTTGCAGGGGACCCTGCCTCCAGCCAGGGCCCTCTCCACGCCTGGCCTCTTCTGAGGATTTCCTGTGGGTTAGCCCTGGGGATCTTCTCTTAATCTGTTCTTAAATGTGTTATTCCAGAAAGAATTCTTTGTAATCACCAGCATTGTAATGGCTTCTTCCTAGTTTCTTTTTTTTTTTTTTAAGATATTTATTTATTTATTTATTTGACAGAGAGCACAAGCAGGTGGAGTAGCAGGTAGAGGGAGAGGGAGAAGCAGGCTCCCTGTTGAGCAGGGAGCCCGATGGCGGGCTTGATCCCAGGACCCCGGGACCATGACCCGAGCTGAAGGCACTTGCTCCACCAACTGAGCCACCTAGGCGCCCCTTCTTCCTAGTTTCTAATGTGCACACATTTTTTTTTTAAAAGATTTTATTTATTTATTTGACAGAGAAAGACACAGTGAGAGAGGGAACACAAGCAGGGGGAGTGGGAGAGGGAGAAGCAGGCTCCCCACCAAGCAGGGAGCCCGATGCGAGACTGGATCCCAGGACCCTGGGATCATGACCTGAGCCGAAGGCAGACGCTTAACAACTGAACCACCCAGGCGCCCCATGCATGCATGTTTTTACCTATTTCACATTTGCTTGGTTCTTTCTTTTTGTTTGTTTGTTTGCTTCTGTAATGTTTGATTGACTAATTGATCTTTCTGAAGTGACTTTTTGCAGGATCTTTTTTATTGAGGAGTAACGAACATACAGTAAAGTCACAAATCCTAAGCATACATCTCAGTGAATTTTTATAATGTGTATACTCTATAACCACCACCCTGATCAAGATATTTCTTGTAGTGTTAAGAAGCTGTGGTGGGGGGGACTCCTGGGTGGCTCAGTCGGTTAGGCATTTGCCTTTGGCTCAGGTCGTGATCCTGGGGTCCTGGGATCAAGCCCCACATCAGGCTCCCTGCTCAGCGGGGAACCTGCTTCTCCCTCTGCCTGCAGCTCCCCCTGCTTGTGCTCTCTCTCTCAAATAAATAAAATCTTTATGAAAAAAAAAGAAGCTGTGGTGAGAGATTGATGGAGAGGGAAATCATGAATCTGTCCCTAAGCTCCTGTCTTTTTTAAAAAATATTTTTATTTTTTATTTTCTTAAAGATTTTATTTATTTATTTGAGAGAGAGAGAGAGAAAGCAGGAGCAGGGGGAGAGGCAGAGGGAGAAGGAGGCTCCCCGCGGAGCAGGGACCTGGATGCGGGGCTCGATCCCAGCACCCCGAGATCATGACCTAAGCTGAAGGCAGACACTTAACGGACTGAGCCACCCAGGCGCCCCTCTTTTTTTTTTTAAGATTTATTTATTTTAGAGAGAGCGTGCACAGGGGTGGGGAGAAGAGGGAGAGAGAGAATCTCAGGCAGAATCCCCACTGAGCATAGAGCTTGACACCCACCCCGTGTGATTTGATCACGACCCTGAGATCATGACCTGAGCCAAAATCAAGAGTCAGATGCTTAACTGACTGAGCCACCCAGGCACCCCTCCCATCTTTTTCTAGAACTGTCTTTAAAGGGTGTTAAGGAGGGAGCCACACTTCAAGTCAAGTGTGTAAGTGGTGTAGAGAGCAGAATGGTAAGGAGTGGTGGGTCGTGTTCTGGTCCTCCCCTCACTAGCCCATGGGACTTCTGTGCCTCAGTTTCAGCAACTGTAAAATGGGAGTAGATGATAGCTCCTACGTCACAAGGTTGTCATGAAGATTACATGAGGTAGTACATGTAAGTGCACAAAAAATGTTAATTGTTGTTTTGTTATTAATTAGGAGGAGGAGGAGGCGGCAGTGGTTCTTAATGAAGGGTACACATCAGAATCACCTGGGGCACTTTTGCAAAATACACGTGCTCACCCTGGCCAGATCTATTGAGTCAGAATCTATATTTTAAACACCTCTCCAAGGCATTCTGTTGCTCATCTGTGGTTAAGAATCACAGGGCTGGAGGTGGCCATGACTGGAAGCAGGAAGACCAGTGGGTGGCCCCCGTGATAGGGCTGGAGAAGGTCAGAGCTGGGCAGATTCATGGCAGAATGGAGAGGTGGCCAAAATGTGGTGACCTTGGGTGGGGAGCAAGGAAGGAAGGGGAGGAGTCTGGGGTGACTCATAGGGTGCTGACCTGGGTGATAGAGTGAGCAGGTGGAGGATGAGCCAGAAACCAGAATACAGGAAGGGGGCATGGGGCCAGCGGGCCAGTGATTGTTCTAATTCTCCTTGGGATTGTTGATGGAGGCTCCTGGTAGAAATAACAAGTTAGAATTTGGGTCTCTAGGCCTGCGCTTATGGTGTTTTCCAGGGAGTCATTGCTGTGAAGGAGACAGAGCCACGGACCTAGTCATAGAGCAAATGTTGAGGGCCAGAGAGGGCCAAGTTCATAAGCATCCACCTCTGGGAAGGCCTTGTCCACTTTTTCTTACTCCCTCCCTAGAAATAGAGAAGTGCTTATTTCTTGTGTAATAACCCCCTTGCTGAGGACTCTTAGGGAATAAACTCTCACCTGAAGATGAATAATAACTGTGGGTCACTTTGTCACAGTTCTCAAAGTTTTCCACATCCCCTGATAGAGGAGGTTATCTTTATTCTTTAGTATCCTCAGACAGCACATTCGGCTAGGGCAATGTCTTCTGACATCCCTTCATCCCGCATGCTGGCACACATACTCAGCTTATGATAGATGGCTTCTAATGCTCTGGCTTTCTTCATATCAACCAGTTACTCTTTGGTAAGAATTTAGGTTATTCCAGTACCTCTCCCAAGACATTTGCATTTAGAACTATAGGTGTAATAGAAATAATGGAAGTTGCTGGATTCCTGAGGGAAGGCAATCCTGGAATGAATTAATCATTTGCGCATTCTAGAATACTCCTGTCCAGTAGACCTTGCTGCGTTGATGGAAATGTTCTGTGTTATACAACATGATGGCCACTAGCCATATGTGGCTATTGAGAGTTTGAAATGTGGCTAGTATAACTGAGGAACTGAATTTTTCATTTTAATTAATTAAGAGTTAAATTTAAATTGACAAAAGGGGTGCCTGGGTGGCTCGGTCGTTAAGTGTCTGCCTTTGGCTCAGGTCATGATCCCAGGGTCCTGGGATATCGAGCCCCGCATTGGGCTCTCTGCTCAGTGAGAAGCCTGCTTCTCCCTCTCCCTCTGCCTGCCTCTCTGCCTGCTTGTGCTCTCTCTTTCTGTCAAATAAATAAATTAATTAAAA